GGAGAGCCCCGCGAACGAAAAAAAAAAAAAAAAAAAAAAAAAAAAAAAAAGAAAGAATCCTAACAGTATCTCACATTTACAGGGCCAAGGATTTTTTTCAAAGCTTTGCAGATACCTGCTACAATTATTTAAGGTATAACCATTATCACTGTTAAGTCAAACATCCAGCCCTGGATGGACCCACCCAGGTTCACATCCTGGCTCTGACATTTACCAGTTCTAACAAACTATATATGTTTGCCTGGCCTCAGTTTCTCAATTTAAAAAATGGAGATCATCGACCATACTTTGCAGGGTGGTTGTAAAAACTTAGAGAGAGGGCTCCCCTGGTGGCGCAGTGGTTGAGAGTCTGCCTGCCAATGCAGGGGATGCAGGTTCGTGCCCCGGTCCGGGAAGATCCCACATGCCACGGAGCGGCTGGGCCCGTGAGCCATGGCCGCTGAGCCTGCGGGTCCGGAGCCTGTGCTCCGCAACGGGAGAGGCCACAACAGTGAGAGGCCTGCGTACTGCAAAAAAAAAAAAAAAAAAAAGCTATGGAATCTTCCTGAGTGAATATATTTTACACTGGGGTACATGTTTTGAATCAACTTAGCTAAAACTAAAACAGAAGCAAGAAAACAAACTCACTTGTCAAACTCATCAAAGAGATCACAACTCTGCAGTTTTGAAAGAGCAAGTCGAAAGTATTCAGCTAGAAAACAAATAGAGTATTAGGAATAAAAGCAATCATGACTTCTTAGGTACACAGTAAACCAGCTTATCCACTGCCCTCCCCAAAACCCACTTCAAACTGGCATGGCCACCTGTGATTTATTCTGTGGTGAAAATTCATGTTACAACTGCAGTTAGCCAGCACTACTTAACAAGCGCACTCAGGATGGTAAATGCTCTAAGGACATTCTCCAAAAACCCCAGAAAAATAAGATACTTAATCTAAAAACAATCATAACCAAAAATTAATCATATCAGATGATTCTGAAACTGACATTGGTATAGAAATCAATATTCTGCAACTTTAAACCTATTAGATTATCAAACTCTCTGCAATATATATTAAACACACACACACACACACACACACACACACACACACATACACACACACACACACCCAGGATCAGCTGAATAAGAAAAGTCTAACTCAGGAAACTATAGGCTTGTCACCTCCTAGGCTTTCAGGGTCTCTCAAAATCTAGAATATAAAATTGTGCAAGGCAAAGCAGTTGTCAACAAGCAGAGGGAAAATCGTTTCATCACTAGTAAATGGAGTAATTCTCTCTAATTTCAGCAAAAATAAAATATCCTCTGATTAAATTAAAAGATTGACCAAGGACCTAGAATGTGCTGATGACATAAAATAAAACTCATAGGTAAAGAGGTGAAATGGGAAATAGGGAGGAAGTTAACCCATAGGGTTGTCTTGCTAATTCTGAATTAGAATAAAGTAAGGCATTGGAACTCATGAATAATACGGTGGCAAAACAAAAGTGAAAAGCAGTTTCTCAAAAATAAAAAAATCTACCTTTTTTCATTCTTTTATTCCACACTGACTCAAAATGAATGGGGATTTACGTATTAAAATTTAATTCCTTTCACCCAATCCCCAAATCATATCCTTAGGAATCATTATGAAACAAAGATTAAAAGGCCTTAAAATTATATAAACGTGATTCACATCAAACACCACTCATATTAATAGGGCAGGGTAAGAATAATATTACTGACCTGATGTTCTTATCCCATAGGGCAAGTCAAACTTATCGCTACCATAGAAGGAAGCAGTATTTTTAAAATCAGCTGCACACAGAAAAGGGTGAAACTGATGAAACCTGGAAGAAAAGGATAAAGAATGATTTTCCCAAATGTGTATAATATTTGCATGTTTTTAAAATCACAACTGTAAATAACTGTAGTATATCATTCCTATTGTTGTATTAAGTATACATGAATGTATAATTATTTTTAAGATTCTTTAAAACTCATCTTAAAGGGCTTCCCTGCTGGCGTAGTGGTTGAGAGTCCGCCTGCCGATGCAGGGGACATGGGTTCCTGCCCCGGTCCGGGGGGATCCCACATGCTGCGGAGCGTCTGGGCCCCTGAGCCATGGCCGCTGAGCCTGCGCGTCCGGAGCCTGTGCTCCGCAACGGGAGAGGCCACAACAGTGAGAGGCCCGCGTACCGCAAAA